TATCCATAAAAGACGTGAGTAAATTCTGTCTTATTTAAAGACAAACATTTTTCAAATACCCAACAAACAGTTTGTAAAAAAAATACTTTTTTGTATCTGTATCCATAAAAGACGTGAGGAAATTCTGTCTTATTTAAAGGCAAACATTTTTCAAATACCCAACAAACAGTTTGTAAAAAAAATACTTTTCTGTATCTGTATCCATAAAAGACGTGAGGAAATTCTGTCTTATTTAAAGACAAACATTTTTCAAATACCCAACAAACGGTTTGTAAAAAACATACTTTTCTGTATCTGTATCCATAAAAGACGTGAGGAAATTCTGTCTTATTTAAAGATAAACATTTTTCAAATACCCAACAAACAGTTTGTAAAAAAACATTTTCTGTATCTGTAATAAAAGACGTGAGAGGAAATTCTGTCTTTTTAAAGACAAACACTTTTCAAATACCCAACGAACAGTGTGTAAAAAAAGATTTTTTAATAGTCAAAGCACGCAAACCTGTTATGGTGAAAAACTGGTCGTCCCTAACAAAGCCCAGCTTTCTTTCGCCATCGAAATAATCCACAAACGTCCAGAAATACAGCGTGTCTCCAACGGCTAATTTTGCCTAATCATCAGTAGCAAACAGTATGAAAGGTTTTTTGGTATGTGAAACAACGGATTACCTGAGAGTCATAAAAAGTCCATCGTCCGTCTTTGGCTTTGGTGATGTCGCGTGAAAATGTTCCGGCTTCACGGCCGTTCATCTCCTCGTTGATTTTGGCATGAAGAGCAAACAGTTTGATTCCATCCTGGTCTGTGGATGGCGAAATGAAAATGTTGATATAAATAATCGTAAGTAATCGTCATTCACATGTTAGGCTTGGAAATCCCAGAAAGATTCGTTGCCATTAGGCAATCTGGTCGATTAGATCTAACAGTGTTCCAAGCAAATCTGTTGAGTTGAAACGCTTGATTCTCTATTTAAAAAAGCGCTCACTGGTATCTAGAACGTTCTAATATGGGGAAAATTGCGAAGAATGTGCGAAATCTACGGCATTAAACTGTGCCAACAACCTGCGCTGTTCTGCTTCTGCTAACATAAACTGCATAAAGCGCGAATTAAGTTAATCAAGTGGTTTTTCCCACCTGGAATGGATACTCGCAATCCTCTGGGTGTGAACGCTTCCACAGTGGCGTCAGGCACCTCAAAACCATCCTGTCCATGGCTGAAACACGCACAAAAAGCTAACACTAAGCAAACAGTCCACATATACATCTTTTGCACTCAAAAGTATTTCACAGACTGACCTGTTTTGGCTTCTGGTTTATTCTTTGCCAGTTCAGTCTCAAGATCAGCCGATAACTCGGAATCCGACGAGTAAAATGGTAAAAACCAGTTGATGATAGCGACAGGATTGTAAGAGACCTTTACCCGATGTTTTCCGTATGTGAAGATGTTGAAACCGCGCTGCAAATTGTTGTTGTTTGTGAATATTCACTTTTATAATTAAGGTCATTAGATGCGGATATTGAAGATTCTAGCGCCAGCTTTTCGCTTCTTCAACACTCATACAGCGATTTTTCTCATGCTTTATCAATGGAACTAAAGCAGTTTTTATTCAGGCTGACGTCGTTTAGTTGTGATAAATATAAAGCCCCCTAATTGACGCAATTGATCTAATTTGGGCCAGGCAGGTTTGGCGAAATATCTGGAATATTTTTTTTTTTGAATAACCGATCATGTGCGAAGTTCCTACTAGGATTATTACGGGAAACCAGTGCGAAGAAAGCCGCCTTTATTTATTGTTATTGAATCTTGCGAACATTGTTTAGCTAATTTATTAGATAACATTGCAAAGATGAGGTCAGCTTTAGTAGTTCAACATGTTAAAATCCACTAGAATATTGGTAAAACGCGCTTTATTTACGCAAGTTTGTCTCAATTTTTTATTCTAAATGCTGTGTGAATTTCCAGTTGCTACCTGCTCTTGATTAAAAGGTGCGAATTTTCAAGATGAATCTCCGAAAATTGCAAAACCCAAACTCCCGTGCGATTTTGTTGCCAATTTCAGAGTTTTTCTGGCAAGTTTCAAGTTGATGCTTGCTCTGGCCCAAAGCTTTTTGAGTAACATTTGCCAAGTCCGTAAAAATGGAAATTTAGTGCGATTGAAAATTTCTGTTTATTTATATCCAGCTTCTCCATAGAATCTGTAAATTACAACGCACGACATGGTCCAGATTCAGAGGCAGGAATTTTCAAATGGGGGCAGCTGAGCAAAAACGTTCATTTAAGGCTAAACTTTCAGGATTTTGTGCGCATTGACTGCAATTTTCAGGATTTTAAGCCCGAACTCTACTATGGTTTTTGCAAATTATAAGTCTCTGCATTAAAACTAATGGGTTTTTCGGGTTTTTAGGCCCGAAGTTCTACCGAACGACGATAATTTATTCCTGACGTTTCGCAAGCACGAGTGGCTTGCATCTTCAGAAGTGGTTTGCTTGAAGAAATTCCAAATTTCATTTTACGACGGCCTAAAAACCCATTAGTTTCAAGGAATGGCCTCGAAAGTCTATCTCTTCTGCATTAAAAGTTAGGGTTTTTGGTTAAAAACTTGCACTTTTCTAGATTTATTCAATGCAACCAACGCGCATTTGCAAAGGGCTGAAAAATTACTGTTTGAGGCGATTTAAATCAAATTTTCAGAGTTTGCAGACCCAAGTATTGGCTATCGACTCTGCGAATTAGAAATTGTTACTTGCTCTGGTTCAAAAGTTAGAATTTTTCTAGCTTATATAAAAACGTTTATTTTGACGCGCATTTGCGAAGTGCAAAAAAATTAGGATTTCAAGCGATTTTATTAAACTTTTTTGCAGTTTCAGATCAAAGATTTGCTGTGGATGGTTTGGATTAAAAGTCACTAGTTTGAAAGAGGGAGGAATTTTTGACGACCAGATCTTGCCTTAAAGTTTCGGGGCTCGTTCAGACAAATCAAAGGAAAATATCCGAATCCTACGCGAATTGAATTAATTTTTCCAGGCTTTCAGATCAAAGTGTTTGTTATGGATTGCGTAAATTAGAAAATACGACCTGCACTCGATTAAAAGTTAGCAATTTCTAGCGCAGAACTTGCGGCTTTTGGGGTTTTTATCGTTAGCAAGAATTTACAAAGTTCTAAAAAATCTGATGAAATTTTCAGGGTTTTTAGACCAAAGCGTTTTCTACAGCTTCTGCGAGTTTCAACTTGTTGCCTGCTCTAGATTCAACGCTATGAATTTTGAACGAAGCGCTTGCAGAAGTCTATAAAAATTCACATTTAGATCAAAAAATTACTTTGCGGCCATACATTGAGCTTTTCGGTTTTGACATCAATTGAGTAATAATGGCATTGAACTTAGCACGAAAATATCTGAATGACTACCAAATAATTAAGAAGTCCAGTCCGATTTGCATTTCATTATTGCAGCCCATTTGAAGCCGGTTGGTGCAGTTTGAGGACTTTTTCAGAGCAAGTGTTTATTGAGTTAACTTTGCAGTTTTTCTAATTTCCTCAAATCCTGGCGTGTAACAAACGAATGGATTTTCAGCTCCAAACTGCAAGCGCTTGTTACTCTTAAGCGAGGTAACAAGCAATCAAACAATCTACAGCACACTAAATGTAGATCAAGTTCAACCTGTCCCGACCGTCCATTTCTCTGGGCACATTTTTCATCACATTAGTCCGCCAGAACCGCTCGAATTGTGTAGTTTATAGGCCGAAAGTGGTGTTTTAAAGGTATTTATACGCTTTTTATTACCTTAAGCAGAATATAGAGGAGTTTTTTTGCCAAATATATGAAAAATCATTAAACTGCTGGTTTGAAGCGCATTTGCAGTTGCACCCGTAGAGAGTTCGATGCAACGCGCTAATTAACGGACATCATATGCATTCAATACTGCTGATTAAGTGGTTATTTTTTGTATTAATTATATTTATTTTTTGTCCAATTAACGAAAACAATGCAACAGTAAGCGTAAAACTGGCAAAGAGAACCGATTAAAGAAGGTCATGGACCTGATCTCGAAGGTGTCCTCCGTCTCGAAATTCACCTCTCATTCTTTCAGTGGACATTGCAAATGTACGTGAACAAACCCATGTACGTTTCGGCGATAAATTTCCCCACTCAATTGATAAGTGAAATTTTCGGTAAAACTCATTGAAAATACAATAAGTAATCCGGTCGGCCGCTACCAGGCGGATAGCAAAACATATGTGCATCACATTTAGTTAAAAAATCTAAATGGATTTAGCGAAAAAAGTGATTTTTTCTAGTGGTTTAGTGGTGGTGATCAGTGCAATCGTTTTCCAAACTATTCAACATTTCGGTGCAAATAAACTGGACATCCAATGGAAATTTAGTAACAATGGTATATAGTCATGCTTGGAAAACGTCGGTCTTTTTTGCTATCTTGAACATTTTAACACCAAAAAAACCTTTTTAAGGACCTGATTTAGACCACGGTGTACATAAAATTTTAATGTATTCTTGATAATGGTTCCGAGATATTGCCAATCAATATGCACATAAAGCAGCCTTGTGGTTCTTATTAAACCACATAATGGATGATTTCAGCGAATGTTAGCGCAATAAATTGCATTTTTTCTATTTTGAGCGTCCAAGACCCAGACCGGTTTGGACGGGACGACTTTTTACACTTTTAACGTTTAGCGATTTTTCAATACATGATATGATTTAGCGATTCATTCAGCAATGAGTTTCAATGTCTAAGACCCCCATCAATAATTATCACCTTATCGGCCGATTTAAATATAAAAAGATTAAAAAATTAATTGATTGCCACTTTTATCACTTTTCGCCACACTTTAAGACAATGGTTGAACAAACTTCTCTTTGCAACATTCTCATCCAGAGATAAGTTAGATGTAAGTGTGTCGTTTAAGGGAATTTTGCAAAGTCATATGCAGATAACTGGGTGGACGAGAGGCGAATTTCCTAAAAAATGGCACTGTTTATGCTTAAAATAGACAAATTTATAGATAAGCTAGGCACTCAGACATCAATAAAAATGCTGATGCAACTTTTGGGGAATTGAATAAGAACATTTTCCACTCGCAACTAGTCGAAGACTAGCGTTTTTGCTTGCCCAGCAGTGTACGTTAAGCACCTTTTCATTCGATGAATTAAACTAATTCAAATTTAATCTGCTCTCTTGCCACTAATTAATCCAAAATCGTCCATTAGAGTATAAATCGAGAGATTCTCTCGGTTCGGGTTCAGTCTTTAAAAGGCGGCGCCCAAGACCAGTCACAACATATTCCACAGTAAGTTAGTGCTTGCATTTTTTTACGTTAATATTTCTTCCATTCCCCCCAGAAGAAACTCGAACAGAAGGAAAAATGCCCAGTTTAGAGCAAGAAGTTATCTTCAAGAAGGCCACGTTCGGGATGGGATGTTTCTGGGCGAATGACGCCCTTTTTGGGGCCCAACCGGGCGTTTTGCGCACCAGAGTTGGCTATGCAGGCGGCACCACTGGAAATCCGGTTTACAAAAATATGTGAGTGAATTTTTATATGGGAGTTGCAACGGAAAATATCACAAATGTATTTGAACGATCTTCTAGTAGCGGAAGCGAATCAGAGGGTGGTTCCTCACACGCGGACTCTGTACCGAGTACCAGCGGTTCGAATCCCAGGTATTTTCCGAAAATTCTTCTATTTACGATTAAAACGTTTGGTTGCTTGGTCGGTTTATCTGGAAGGTCAGCAACGAATTTTCTATCTGCTAGTAATATATCAATTAAAGCTCTAAAGCCAGCTGTAAAACAATTAAAAGCCATTAACTACATAGTGGTGCTGTTGCCATAAAAAATATGAATCGGCTCAAGTTTGGACTTTGAATCCACCGTAGAACAATTTGCTAAAAGTTCCATTTGGATTAATGTGCAATTGACTTTACGACGGCTTTAATTTTCCCTCAAATCCATTACTGCAGCCATTAATTTTAATGGCAATGATAACGTAATGGGAAACCGGATTTTGGCTTGGGAAGCATGCGGTACTTAGTGGGTATAGAGTAAATAATGTGCTAAATTTCCGTAGCAGTCACGATCAAATTTTAAAAATTCTTTGCAGTGTTGTACATAGGGAGTCATTATTAGGTGAACGTTTCGATGGCACGCATGACTAGCCATAATCGACTTAAAAACCCCGAGAATCATCATTTGCTCAAACAATTAGCCAACGCACTGTATTTATTTTTTATCAGAAAATCTACAGTGAAACATTGCTAGCATCTTCAAAGGTGCGTCCTTCGCTCTCGAAACCAACAAAAAAACATTTCGTTTCCTTCAGAACTCAGTTAATTTTAGACGTGAAGGTGGCAGGTTGGAACGTAGCAGCGCCCAGCTCATTGGGCATCTCTCTCAGATTCCTATGGGTGCAAGTGAGATAACCGATGAAAGCTAGGTTCCTGAATGGAATTATTTGAATCATTCGAATCACAACAAAACCTGTATCAGCTAGTGGAATTCAGCAACAAAATCAGTTGCAATTTTTTTTAAACGGTGAATTTTCCAGGAAATAAAATGTTGATGGATTTTCAGGGGAGACCACACTGAAGTGATTGAAATTGATTTCGATCCCAACATTATCAGCTACCGCGATTTGCTGAAACTCTTCTGGGACAATCACGAGTACGGACTCACCACTGTGATTAAAAGACAGGTAAGCGTTTCACCTCAAATGGTTTCCCAAATAAAAAAGCCCCGAAAGCAAAAAAATGTTTAACCATTTCAGTACATGTCTTTGATTCTCTACCACGAAGAGGAACAGAAGCGGATCGCCGAACTGGACATTGAGGTCGAAGCAGGAAAGAGGAATGAGAAGTTGATTACTGAAATCGCACCAGCCGGGCCGTTTTATCCAGCCGAAGAGTAATTATTCGCAAATAATCTAAGCAACCAACACTGTTTGTTCGCGTTTCCAGCTACCATCAGAAGTACCGTTTGCAGAAGCACAAATGGATCATGGAGGAGCTGAACATTTCCCCCGATCAGCTGCAAACTTCCCAAATAGCTGCTCGACTCAATGGCTACCTGGCCGGAGTGGGAAAACTGCAAGATCTGGAAAAGGACGTTAAAGTGCTGGGAATCCCCGAAAAGATTGCCAGCTTTGTGAAGATCCAGTACTTGGATAATGAGGGCGGAAGTCTCTATTGTTAAAATCCACATTTGGTGTTCCAGCTACACATTTCTCCCACCCTCAATGTAAAAGACGCAACAGCTGAGGCTTTGGAGCCATTATCTTTCTTATTAAGACTGCTAGGATGGCCAAAGCTACATGCTTTCAGATGAATAAATTTGAATGTTTGCTGTTTTGGTCATTTTTCGCGTGTTTATTCTGTTGAACATTCAGTGTTAATGTAATTTTGTTAATCATTGACCAGACGTCCATTTACAACAAATAGGAAGAGGGAGATTAAACAAAGATTTTTAATTATAAATGTATTTTATTCGTCTGTTGGTTAAGAACAATTGATTGAGAAATATATTGAAAATTTGGTTTGGAGATTACCAACACAAAAAAATGTGACTCAGCCCTGCTGTGAAAAAATCTCTGAGTTTGGGAGGTTTTATTGCATATAAAATCGAATATAGTGAAGTAGTTTTAACAGTTTTTGTGCCTCCCGTGCGTTTAGAGTTACTTTTTTGGCAGTTGTCGTTAATTAGTTGCAAATTTTTGAGTTTCTGGAAAAAAGTTATTGTGGGGTTTATTTTTGTCCGTCCAGTTTTAGACTCACTTACTCACTCACTGTGTCTAACCGAAACTCACCCAAACTAACCAAAACCAGCCAAAACTAGACTGTGATCTGTACTTACAATTCGCGAATTGAACTACCGATGGTGACGCTGCTCGAAACGTCAAATTAATCGTTGTCGAGTGACAGTTGACACGTGTCAGACTTGTCTATTGATTGGAGTCAATGACATTTACAACATAAAACAATACCGAATACCGAACGACGGCCTAAAAGCCCGAAAAACCCATTAGTTTCAATACTTACACACTTTTCGATCTGTTTCTATTTCCTTAGATGCTTGCAAAAGTTGATTAGAACAAAGCAAAAGAGACCACAACTGTCAAATTACTGCTTAGTTTGTAGTTGTAATTTTAGCCCCTAGGGGGCGTCTGGGCTTTTGAACTCGCGAATCCCAAAACTGTTTTTCTGGATCATTCGTCCTGTATATTAGGCAGCGTTGCCCGATATGGTTTCAACCTTAACATGGTCCTCTTTTAATGCTCAAACTTTAGAAAAAAATTGCAATTTTATTGTTGCTTTCAATGTAACCGAACTGAGCTAATGATATATTGCAATAAAAGATTGAATTTTTCCACACGCTGGATCTTTTGGTGGGATTAATTGGCAATAGTTGAAGGAAAAACCACGCACTTTGGCAATATTGCAATATATGACAGCTGAAAATTGTAAAGTTTGCGCGTTTGTTTACTGTTTATATTTTCATTCGTAAATCTTTTCGTATAAACTACGGGGTTTTCCAAACGGCCCAAATCATCTTAGAAGAATTGAGGTACCTTTGAAGGGTTTAGTTAAGTCTAGGTAAAAATAGTGAACTTTGAACATTCATCAATCGTTCTAAGCCCTTTTTGCACATTTTCCAAGCCACCCTGGAGAATATCACATGTTTGTCCGGGCGCCGTGTGGCTGTTCTAAATGAACCCCGAGAACTTTAACTGCTCACCATTTCAGTTATTTTCTCACTGACTGACTCAAATTCCAACTTTTTCCAGCTCAGAGCAATTGAATGGTATCCATTTCAGAGTCACAGCGTAGGAAAATGAAGCACTACTGGTTCAATAAGAGGTGCTGCGTTCCTGAATGCCTCAACCTGTCCACCGAGGGCGAGGGCTGTTTCAAGGAATATTTCGATTTGCCAGCAGAGCCTCAAGCTCGCCGAAAGTGGCTCTATGCCATTCTCACTGAGGATGGAGATGACTTGAAAGTCTGTGAAGACCACTTTAAAGTAAGCCAACATTCGAACTTTATTAGACGTTCAATAGACGAAGTTGCTGGTGCTGTTCCAAATACTTAACCAGCAGTAATTCTTCACTAAACTCACCAATTTTCTCTTTAACGTTATGCTTGCATGGGGCATTCCAGGGGTAAGTTGAGTTAGTTTCCCATAAGTGTGGTTGATCAGTCATTGTTTATCCCAATATTTCATAAAGCCCAAACTTGTAGATCGCATGGTAAGGATCTGGACAAAGCTAATCAGGCTCCTGTATATTCTGACGTGCCGCTTGGTCTTCGATATAATTTTTTAGACCGTCCTGAACATCTGTTTTGCATAAACCATCATTATTATTGTTATTTTTTCTAAAATTCATCAACTAAATAGTCTCATGTAGTGAAAGTGCGCTCCGTATAATCTTCTTATTATTGTGGAGCTGACAAATCGCTGTGTAGGCAGCATTCAGATAATGTGCTCATTGTGCACCAAATACATGGCTGTTTGCGTTATTTATTAATAAAGCATTGGTTTCGTTCCTTAGGAAGACGACGTCTTTCGCGACAAAAACAACCGGAAAAAACTAAGTGTGAATTCAGTGCCTTCAATGAAGCTTCCAACACGTATCTGTGCGTGTTGTCTGGGCGCTGCAACACCATCAGTTGGACCAACAGCGCCGCACGTGAGTTATCCCTAGTTGGCGTTTAATTAAATTTAAATTTTCATCGTTTTTCAGCTGAAAGTTTGCAAATGCAACACGCTAGCTGCGTTGAAGACGATCCAAAATCATTCAATTAAACGGTGCGTACTGATATGGTAAGATGGTAACAATCGCTGCTGCAACTGTTTGTTTCAGAACTCGCACTACTTGGACTGCCGAGGAAAAGCTTATTCTCTTTAAAGCCATAAAGAATTATGGGGACGTAAAATTCCGGAGCCATAACATAAGAATTAACTGGGCAAATGTTGTTAATCATTGCAGGTAATCCTTTAGGGTTTATTTTTATCGATGTGGTCAGGGGCGGATCCAGCTTTATAGTCAGGGGGGGTTATTTAGARAAAATACAGTCTTCTGATCGTCGTTWTSTGCAAGGGTGGCGCAAGATTATTGMAAAATGWTCRTCGTTTTSTGCAAGGSTRRCTAAATGGCCTTTATTCGAAGTTTCTCAARAACCATTCGAGCTAYAGAATTCGTKTTGGCATCGTTGGMTAGAGAATTGAATGGGGAGGGTCATGACCCTTATGACCCCCATGACCCCCCCCCTGGATCTTCCCTTGGATGTGGTGGTTAATTAGTGACCATGATGATAGTCAGTAAAATACGCTACTATTTAGGTCTGTGGGTTTTTCGGTCAATAGATGGTGGCAAAATAAAACACAATTTTTCATGGGCCGTTTCGACTACGCGAGTCGAAACGCCGGCCCATGAAAAATTGTGTTTTATTTTGCCACCATCTATTGACCGAAAAACCCACAGACCTAAGTAGGCGTCTTTTAATGTAAAGTAATCTCTTGTTTGCAGAGCCAGTGGTTGTTTTGGAAATGAAAAAGAGCTGAAATATGTGTGGCAGAACATGCGAGCCAACGCTATCAAAGTATACAAAAACAACATTTTTGGATCCAAATTAGATCGGAAAGTGTCCAAATTCCTTCATGGCATTGCGCCCAAAACACCCAAGCTCTCTAGCGAGACTGAGTGAGTTAAACCAGACGCTTGCACCAATAATTTCTTCACTGATAAGCATTGTAGATGTGCAACAGTAAACATGTATGAGCTGGGCGATAGCAAGCAGGATTTGCAAAGTGAACCGGCACACCAACCTATGCAAGAAAGTGCATCTAATGCAGCCCTTGAATGCAGCACTGCAGCGACTGATATCAAGGATGAAGAAGAACCTCACGACTGCTGCTCCGAGCAGGAAAGCGACGAATACTACTCCATATCGGACGTGGAGGAACTTTTCCAAATAAAAATCCGGCCCAATAATGCCCAAGAGGTAAGTGATAACTTTATTAATTCTATTTGAAGCCACCTTAACATATGCAGTAAATCTTGCAAGCCATTTCGGAACATTTCACGAATTTTTTCAGGTCATATCACTGCTTTCTTCAGATGACGAGAAGTAGTTTCCCGAGTAAATTTCTATGAAAGTTATATACATATTCAATAGTCGCTTAGTTGATGTTTAAAGTTAATTATGTTGATTTAACGTGTTCATGTTTTGTTGGCCTATTGCAATATAAAAAAAATGTTACTATCTAAGTGGAAAACCCCCTGTTAAGGCGCTTGTATGCACAACCCAAAATCGTTGTTAAACCCTGGGCCTTCGTGGGTGAGTTAACCGGGCTAGGATAAGCTCACACCTTGCTGATTATTGCAAATTTTCAACTTTATAAAATGGCCAATTGTGAAAAGGTTCACAACCAGATAATTAATACCTCACTGGACTCCACAGCCCGGTGTGCTCATCCCGTCGGAAATAGTGCGGCCGATTATCCCTGAAGACTGTAATTGCCGGAAATTGATTATCCTGGATATACTTTAAAGCCGCTCTAATCTGCAAAGGAAATGGAATTTCATTGTGCCACAGTTTCTTTAAATGAGCGATGTACCTGCATGACAAAGTGCGGGGGTTGAACTTCCGGAGAGGTAGAAAGCTGTTGTAAGATGAAATCATCAGTTTGCTCCAGCCACAAGTCCACTCCTCTGAGTGGCTCGTAGTTGAAGGGCGCAATCTGAAGCAGGCCTAGACTGCAGTCGTAAATATCTAATACCTGAAAAAGTGATTTAGTGACTTAGTTATATGTATCAGACTGTGAAGGCTTTCACGGCCGGGCAAATCCCATTTGGAAATGTTTTTCGGGCTTTGAAGCCGTGCTCGCCGGGCGAAGTGATCTCCCGTGCTTTCCGACTAAGACTGGTTCAACTACTGGATCCCCTGTCGTATTTATGCGGCCACAGGGGATCCAGTAGTTGAACCAGTCTTAGTCGGAAAGCACGGGA